TCTGTCGAGTGTTAACTTTACATTCATGCCTAGGAACAAGATGGGAGGATTGAGCTCCAAAAATACCCTGTTGGACTGTTTTCTCACTAACTTTAAATTAGCTTTTTCCCCTGAGCAGGAAGATGAATATGGAATGAAGTTTTCTCAAGGGAAACTCTGAATCCTCTGCAATTTGGAGTGCCCCACGTTCAGAGTGTGGCTGGCCAGCTGAAGGTTCTTTCGAACCAAGACTTTGTCGGGCAGTATGGGCAAAGGTCATTGAACACCCTGGCCACCCCGAACAATTCCCTTATATTAATATCTGGGCCCAGGCCTGTGAAGAACCTCTGGCATGGTTGCAGCACTACTCCCTGCACACTAGTTCTCGTATTCTGGTGATGGTACCAAATGCGATAAAGTCTGCAAAGCAGCCTACTGACCCTGGGTTAAGACCCCCTCCATATGCAGAACCATCTCCTGGGGAGGCAAAAGTTAACTCCATCTACCCATCTCCCCCGAAAGAAGGGGAGATCCCAGATTCCACCACCTCTCCTTCCCGTACCCGAGGGGGCTGTGCTTATGGGCCCCCGGAGGCGCCCCAGGAGAGACCGAACCCAGTCCCTGTGCTCCCATTGAGAGAAATAGAACAAGGTCATTATGTATACATTCCTTTCTCTACAAGTGATTTATATAACTGGGAAGCACCAGAATCCCCTGTTCTCTGAGAAGCCGCAGGCCCTAATCTCCCTCCTCAAGCCTGTGTTTAATACCCATGATCCCACCTGGGATGATTGTCAGCAACTTTTACAGGTTCTGTTCACATCCGAGGAACGAGAAGGAATTAGAAGACACGCTATTCGGTCAGTGCTGGGGGAGCTGAGGGGCTTGGTGATGACCAACAACAACAGGCCCAAGTTGAAGCACAACTCCCCATCTCCCGTCCCAAATGGGAATTGAATTCCACCGGAGGTAGGGAAGCTCTTCGCAACTACCGTCAGCATCTCCTGGCCGGCCTTAGGGGAGCCGCTCTCAAGCCTACCAATTTGAGCAAGGTAAGTGAGGTCCTACAAGGGCCTGAGGAATCCCCCTCTACCTTCGTGGAGCATTTACTGGAGGCGTACCGCACGTACACTCCAATTGACCCAGACGCTCCAGCGATCAGGCAGGCAATTAATCTGGCTTTTGTAACTCAGTCGGCCCCAGATATTTGGAAAAAATTACAGATTTCGGAAAAAATTACAGGGAATTGAGAGCTTTGAAGGAGAGAATAGGGAAAAATTGATAAGTGTAGCAATGAAGGTGTTCACAAACAGGGATCCACCCGAAGATAGAATAACTAAAAAGATGGCAAGGACAAATATAATGATGATGGCAGAAGAGGGTTTTATACAGAAGGGGAGAAAAATGAAATGGGGAAATAAGAAGAATTAAACTAATCAGAGAAGAAGAAAATTCTCCAGAACAGGACTTGCAGGAGGTAAACAGCCGGGTGGAGACCATCCACCCAATGGTACCGAACCCCTACATACTGCTGAGCCTCATTCTGCCTGCACATGTATGGTATTCAGTTCTTGATCTCAAAGATGCATTTTTCAGCCTGCCCCTGGCACCAGTAAGCCAGCAGCTGTTTGCATTTGAATGGACAGACCCAGACACTGGAACTACTGGACAATTGGCATGGACTTGATTGCCACAAGGCTTTAAGAACTCCCCCACACTGTTTGGGGAGGCTCTCAGCAGAGATCTACAAGAGGTAAGGAAAGCTTTTCTCTATGCAACTGTCCTCCAGTATGTAGATGACCTCTTAATGGAGACCACAACTGAGAAAAGATGTCTCACAGCCACCGAGGGACTCCTGGAGGCCCTACAAGGTCTGGGATATCGAGTGTCCTGGAAGAAAGCCCAGCTCTGCAAAAACCAAGGTAACTTACTTGGGTTATGTTCTTGAAAAAGGAAAAAGAAAGTTAGCTGAAACCAGGGTGTCAGCGATCCTTCAGATCCCCACGCCCAGCTCAAAGAAGCAGGTGCATGAGTTCCTGGGGGCCATGCCTGATTTAAATAAACCATTCACCTTATATGTGTCAGAGAGAAACAGAGAGGCAAAAGGAGTGATCACGCAGTCTTTGGGGCCTTAGAAGTGGCCTATAGCCTATCTATCCAAAAGACTTGACCCAGTGGCCAGAGGATGGCTGTCTTGTTTGAGGATGATAGCTGCGGCTGCTGCTTTAGCTCAGGAAGCTGATAAATTGACTTTTGGCCAGGATCTAACTCTGATCACTCCTCATGCCATTGAGCCCCTGCTGCACAACTCACCAAGTAGGTGGCTATCAAATGCTACATTGCTTGCAGTACCAGGGACTCTTGTTAGAATAGCCGCTCATTAAATTTGCCACAACATCTAACCTGAATCCTGCTAGTCTACTCCCTGAGTCAGATGACCAACTGCCCATCCATGACTGCCTTGAGACGCTTGAAAATCTGTGGGAGGACGTCCAGATCTGATGGACCTGGCCCTTCCCAGGCCTGAGGCAACATACTACACTGATGGATGCAGTTTCGTATGTGAAGGAGTACGATATGCGGGAGCAGCAACAGTCAATCAGGATCAACTGGTAGTATGGGAACAAGGGCTGCCCCAAGGGACGTCAGCACAGAAGGCCAAACTGATTGCTTTAACTAAGGCTCTGGAATTAGGAAAAGGGAAAAAGATAAATATTTTTATTGATAGCAGTTATGCTTTTGCTACTGCCCATGTACATGGAGAAATTTACCAGAATAGAGGACTTTTAATGTCAGATGGGAAAGAAATTAAAAACAAAGTTGAGATATTGGCTCTGCTGCAAGCCATCTGGCTGCTGAGGGAGGTTGCCATCATTCACTGCCATGGACATCAAAGGAATTCCAGCCCTGAAGTGATTGGAAACAACGCAGCTGACCGGGCAGCAAAGCAAGCTGCCCAAAAATCAGTGGGGAAACAAATGGTGCTGCTACCTACACCCGTGCTCCCAGAGAGGCCTGAATATACAGAGTAAGAAATAATGGAGATGAGTAAGAACCACTGGACCAAAGGAAAGCGTGGATGGTGGACAACAGATGAAGGGAAGGTCGTTCTGCCAGCCTGGGTGGCTGACACTTTGCTAAATGAGCTCCATGAATCCACCCACCTAGGAGAAAAGAGGATGATGGCCCTGCTACGGCCCCACTTTGTCAGCAGAGAATTAGCCCAGAAGGCCCAGGACAAAGTGAGACAGTGCCCCACCTGCCTCAAGGTAAATGTGAATAGGGTAACTGGGCCCCCAGGGGTCCCATATAGGGGACTGACTCCCAGAGAACACTGGGAACTGGACTTCACCGAAATGAAACTAGGCATGTATGGTTACAAATATCTGTTAGTTTTCATAGACACATTCTCAGGGTGGGTGGAGGCATACCCTACTAAAAAGGAAACAGCTGAGGTAACAGTAAAAAAGCTCCTGAATGAGATAGTTCCCCACTTTGGCTTGCCCTTAGCCCTGGGTTCCAACAATGGCCCAGCCTTCATGGCTAAAGTGTCTAAACTGATTAGCCTAAGCATTGGAATTAGATGGAATTTACATTGTGCTTACAGACCTCAAAGTTCAGGACAGGTAGAAAGAGTTAACAGAACACTAAAAGAGATTTTAACTAAATTGAGCCTAGAGACTGAATTAAGTTGGGTGGAGCTTCTCCCTTTTGCTCTGTTGCGTATTCGATGTACTCCCAAGCCTCCTCTGAATCTGTCACCTTTCCAAATTATCTATGGGCGTACTCCCCCCTTGGTTCCCCATATAGATATGGAATTAAAGGAGAAATTCTCTCATCTGAGGTTGCTTAAGTCTCTGAGAGCTTTACATGAAATACGGTCTCAACTACAAGACCAGGTTAGAGGATCTCTGACCCTTCCTCATGAGAAACCTCTACAGCCACTGCCCTATAAGCCGGGAGAACTGGTTTATATTCCCAGGTTTGACTCCAAGACCTTGGAACCACGGTGGAAGGGGCCTTTTCCAGTTGTCCTGTCTACTTCTCTGGTTGTGAAGGTTGCAGGACACCTGACGTGGATCCATCGCAACCACCTCAAGCCCGGACCGGACAACAGCCCAGAGGCGCACGGAAAATGGAGCGTTGTCAGCAAACCCGGAGAATTGAAAATAAAACTCTGCTCAACTGGACCTTCATTACGATCTGGGTGATTTCCCTTGGGACAATAATAGTGTTGTCCAGAGAGAACTTAGGTCATACTAAAAATGTTTGGGTGCCATTAGCTGAATCCTTAAATTTGTCTGAAATATGTTTAAATGCTGATGTGAATTTTCATTATGTGCTTGGAAGTTGTTTGGTTCCAGTATGCACCCCACTTGAAAGTATTAGACCATATACTATGTTTAAAAATTTCCCACAAGTAAATCTCAGTTATTTGGATAGTTACAATTGGGGACAGGTGACATGTTACAAACCAAAGAATGCTATTAAGCTATATACCCCTCGAGTAGCTATGTCCAATAAGACTCTCTGTGCCAAATATAAAGGTTGTACTTCCCAGTGTTTAAATCTTAAACAAACAGATGTAATGAAGTGTTCTAGAGAACAAAAGATTCCTTACAGCAAATGCCATATTACTTTGCCACTGGGATGGTTTTATACTTGTGAGGGAATAACTTATAATTACATCCCAGCAAACTTGACTGAGGCCCGCTGTTGTCTTAGTAAATTAGCAGTCATCTTACCTGTCAGGGGAGACCTCTCACCGCCCAACAGAACAAAACGCTGGTCTCCCTATACTTCACCAGGCTGTGATGATGATGTAGGACTTTTAACAGATGCTGAAGTTATTCCTATGATTATTTCTGTGATAGGTATATCCTCAATTGGAGTACATGCTGAAAAGGCAGTTAGAAAACTAGCTTGCAAGGTAGTTAAAGGGTTAAATACCACCTCTGCTGCGCTGGCGCTAATTAATCAAGAACTCCAGGAACAGAGACAAGCAATCTTAGGTAATAGGGTGGCAATTGATTATTTGCTATTATTTCATTACCAAGGTTGTGAGAGGGTTAAAAATATGTGCTGCTTCAATTTAACAAATACTGGGCCAGCTATAGAACAAGACATAGAAAAGCTAAAAGATTTAGCTACAAAGATTCATAATGAACAGATAGGATGGGATTTATTTAAATGGTTAACAAGTTGGTTACCTGACATTACCTGGGTAAAACAACTGATACTCTGTGTAATGGCATTAGGATTTTGTATTGCAATAACTTGTTGTCTTTTACAATTTGTTCCTTTATTAAGGCCCAGAGTCAGATATAAGTAAATTAAAGATTTGATTTAGGTCCAAAAATCAGTGGGGAATGTAAGAGCCTGACTGAACCAGAGCGACTCCATGTTGACCAGCAAATGACCTAGAGACTGTCGCCCCCTCCATCCCTTATAGGATAACTAATGATTAATTGTGAATTGTTAGGTAACTGCTTTGAAGTAGCTAGGAAACTAAATGGAAACTGTAGTGAACACAGAGACCCAACACAAATCACGCCACTCCCTACTTGCCTGTAGTTGAATGTTCTGAACATTATAATCTAAGTTGTAAATGGAATAATGTATAATTGATCTGCTGATCATTAGTATGTGACGGTCAAGTATATGCTTGATGACCACTAGCTCAGATCAACTGATTCTTTGCCTTTGTCCTCTTCCTGTAAGTTTTAAGTGTAAACCCCCCCCACCTCAGCCCTATATAAAATGGCCTCTGTTTCTGAGCTAGCCGCCTCTATGAGCTACTTGGCTTGGGGAGTGCCATCTGGCCAGACTAATAAGGGTCTATTTGCCAACTTGCCTGGTGTGTTCCTTCCTGGGTGACTCTCGCTGTCCGACAAGCTCCTGGAGCCTCACTGAGCTTCTGAGCCCAGCATCGTGGAATCCTCTTGACTGTTCACGCTCCAGGAGTAAAAGTGAGACTTAAGTCTTACAAAATGAGGCTGTGATAGCCAGCCAGACTCTCCATGCATATGCAGGAGCTTGAATGCGATAGCAGTGGCATCATCAAAATAGCTATGAGTCACTGAAGCCATGGGGACACAGTCTAAGAAATGCACTGTTTTTTTTTTTTTTTTTTTTTTTTTTTTTTGAGACAAGGTCTCACTGTGTAGTTCAGGCTGGTCGTGAACTCACTATATACCCAGGCTGGACCAGAACTCGTGGCGGTCCTCCCACATCAACCTCCGAGAGTGCTGGGACTATAGACCTGTACCAAACCCTGCTGAGGATGAATTTCTTAAGCCCTCCCCACAAAATAAACTTGACTCTATCACATCTGAGGATTTCCCTTGTACAGTAATCATTGTTTATCAGATTATCAGAGAGACAATCAACTCAAAGGAAATATTTGCAACATCTGATGGAGAAGGAAGGACTTAGATGGTATAGTGGGTGATCCCACTGATCTGTCAGAGTCCCCTGCAAAGCCACAGAGACCATGAAAACCCAAATTACACTTCCTATCCTGACAAAAATAGGAGACATGTGAAGCAATTACAGTTTTGAGCCTCTACCACAAAAATACAGATTTGGACCAATACCTAATGAACAGACAAGGACTTAGGCAGCTCTAACACAGATTTCAAGCTCCCAACAGGCTGAGCCTACTGGTGCCCACCTATAATCGTAACTACTTGGGAAGCTGAGACTGTAGGATCAGAGAGTTCATCCTGGGCAACTTAGCATGACCCTGTTTAAAAAAAAAGATAGAAAATTTAAAAAAATTTTTAAAGGCTGGGATGTAGTTTAGTGCTAGAACTCTTGCCTACCACTTATAAGGCTCTGGGTTCATCCCCAACACAGCAAATAAAAACAAAAGCAAAACTGCAACAGAAAAACAGAGAAGGCACCATTCTTGCAGTTGTTCTAGTAGCATTATCTATAATAAAAGAGAGCTTTAGAACATTTCAGAAAGCAAGAGAGAAACAATACAGATTCAATCTCATTATAAAGTAATAAAACTAAAAATAACAAAACCAGGAAATAAAAACAGCCTAACACCTGTACATTTATAAAATAACTCTTAAAATGACACCCATCAAAGAAGAAAACAAAGGAAAATTGCAGAACAGCTAGCAAATTATGATAAAGAAGCACCCATTTAGGGCTGGGGATTTGGCTCAGCGGTTCTGCTGCCTGCCTTGCAAGCATAAGAGCCCGAGTTCAATCCCTGGTACAAAAAAAAAAAAAAAAAAA